TTTTTTTTTTTTGTCCACTTATTTTGTTGCTTTTTTTTTAAAATAAATTACTCCATCCCATGGCTCGTGTGGTCAAGTTTGGTAAAAAGTTGAGAAAACTCAACCCTTTTACATGACAAAAACCTAACTGGAGCAGATAAACTAGACTGGGTCTAGGGCTATTAACGATCTGAACGTTTTCAAACAAGAATTCGTTCATGAATGAGTCTAGGGCTATTAATGAAACGAACATTTTCAAACAAAAACTCGCTCAAGAGTCAAGCCCGTTAATGTTCAACAAGAGTTTGTTCGTTTGATAATCAAACCGAGTTCAAACAGAAAACTAAATTCGTTTAATATTCAAACGAGCTAACGAACACGATCTCATTCGAGAACGGTCTATAATCTTCAAAAATAAATTTAATATAATTTTATTTTATTTTGTGTATATTTACATGATAATTTCAAATAAATGTAAATATAAACATTTTTTTATTTTAAATTTTCGATTTCGAACAAACAACTTTTAAGTTAATCAGACATACTTAAAAATAGTTTTTTTTAATATTATTCAAACACAAACTTTGACAAACAATTAAATACGAGCTCGAACAAGATTTTTTGATCGAAAAATAAACGAACAGCACGAGCATAAATTAACACGAGCTCAAAATGCTCATTCAATTGGATTACAGCACTAAGTCTGTCTCCCAATATAAAAGAAAAGCAAATAACACGACGCCACATTGTAATATTAGCTACTGATTCTTGTTTGCATCGGTGTATATAGTAGAGGCAAATTTCACACCGAACTGAGCTAGTAACCAACCACCTAAACTAAGTGAGGATTCACCCAAATACATTGCCTATTCCTAGAATAAACAGTTATGATGAAAGACATTAATGCACAAACAAATCTTCCTTTACGTCTACATACGGAGATCCAACAAGCACACGACATTATTTGCAAAACAAGCAGCAATTTTATTGCCCTCCTTGTTCCAACAAACCTCAAAGATCCCGCCATTGCCACTGAATGTCCTCACTATCCTTGCTTCCTTCACGGACCACACGTGCAGGCATTTATCCAGTGACCCACTTGCCAGGTAGTCGCCATTCGGGCTAAACGCAACAGAATAAACTGGGTCCCTGTAATGAAATTGAAACAGACAGCCAAAAAGAAGAAAATTCTGAAAAATTTAAACCCTTCATACACTGCTCATGTTTGTCCCAATCCCCTGTTTGTTTGCTGGGAAACAATGTCGGATTTGGTTTGGCACGAGGAAATTATGTTTGCCCCCACACAATTAGTTATTGGGTTGTTATTGCGTATATTTCTCACCCATGGCAATACAAAAATGATGTGTTTTCGAAATGTTGCTAAATTGCCAAAGACGATCACTAACTCTCGGCTTATTTATTGGCAAAAAGATTAATTAATTAGCTTTCTTCTTACCTGTGTCCATTTAAACTATGCAGCTGACGTCCGGCATCCACATCCCACAGTTTTATGGTTGAATCAAATGAGGCACTGCAGTAAGAGATGGGGAAAAAAAAGGAACTACAACTTTGAATGAAAAAGAGAACAAAGCTGAAACAAAACACAACACACATAGAATTGTATACCACGTAGATTTGACTATGCACTATTTTTCTCATTTCATTCTTCAACTCAGTTCACGATGTCTACAATAACACGACTAGTAGTTATGCATGGCATATCTCACGTAAGACTCTTATAGTCTTATGTTTTTTCATTTAGTTATTCATTCCCCTTCTTGATTTGGCAAATAACGCGCAAATCAACTACAGTTGTGTTCACGTAAGTTTCGAAAGCTTAAGGACCATAAAACTATTACTGTGACTAGGTTTTCTGAAAGAACTTGGGAAAAGCATATGTTAGATCTCGCTAACAAAAGTGTTCCAGAAAACTCTGGACACATGCATGAATAAGCAAATTTCACTAAATTCTTATAGTAGTTATGCATGGCATATCTCACGTAAGACTCTTATAGTCTTATGTTTTTTCATTTAGTTATTCATTCCCCTTCTTGATTTGGCAAATAACGCGCAAATCAACTACAGTTGTGTTCACGTAAGTTTCGAAAGCTTAAGGACCATAAAACTATTACTGTGACTAGGTTTTCTGAAAGAACTTGGGAAAAGCATATGTTAGATCTCGCTAACAAAAATGTTCCAGAAAACTCTGGACACATGCATGAATAAGCAAATTTCACTAAATTCTATATTAGGCACGATGGATCTCCACGAACACACATTAGATTCGAATGTGCTCCATGCCTCAACCAGTTGCACCCAAAAATTAATCAGACCACAGTTTTCACACTTGCAATAGTAGAGATAAATTCATCATTATCTACACGAGCATTCGTGAATCTCTCTGAGGATCTATCACAAACACAACCCGATTTTCTTTCCACTCGGTGGAATCCATACCAAAAAGGTTTGGCCACGATGAATATAAATATACATATATATTATATTTCTGCATTTCATTAAAGAAAAGACAGGTAACCCATATGCAAAACTTATTAGACACCTTATCATTTCTTATTTCATCTTTAATGTTGTGTGTGTGTGATGAGAACCGGGCCAATCGAGCGTACCTGGACAAAGACACGTGCTTTGCAGCAATTAATTTAAGTTTCCATTCAAATTCTTAGGATGTTTTACATGATGGTTTTGAATGTTAGTTTTCATGCAGTTTGTTAGTTTATTAGCTTTTGTTTTTAAATTTGAAATCAATAGGTTAGTTATCAAATTTTAATAACCGCATGTCGGTTTTAATAACCGCATGTTAGTATTAAATGACTCATGTACTCTTATTTGTATTATTATGAAATAAGAAATAACAAAAAATGCTCGCTTTCGAGTAAATTCTTCGTGTTAAACCGACGGCCGTAAGTGCGGGTTTTCACTTTTATCGTGTTCGAACCAAGGCCATTAGCGCGGGTTCCTACACAAAATCGAGTCAGATACACGATCTTCATCATTGGTGCTTTCATTGAGAGTGTCGATCGTGTATCTTGTTTATTTTATTTTATTTTATTTTTTCATTTTTCTATCTTTCTTTTGATTTTTCTTGACAGTTTTTCGTGAAAAAAAA